TAGGTGCATGTTTATTTTGCTATATAAGTTTGTATTTTTCCTGACAAAAATAATATTTAAAAGCACGTCTACACAAATGGTAAAAGTATTTAAATTACAACCGTTTGAAAATTTAAATTTTTATACCACTGTATTTTTATTTAAAACGTATTCTTTCCTCTCGCTTCGTCCGCCATTACGAGCATAAAAAAATCTCTGGTCGGGCCGCAATGCATAATGGGATATGGTGGGTTGGGAAGGATCCAATGGACCAGTCCTTCGATTTGGACCAAAGGAAGGACGCATTTGTCGCCGCATCGGAGGAGTCTTCGGTTTTGGATGGCCTTCGTCGCGGCGCTGTGACGTGTGCGGCCGATGAATTCGTCCTTCAGAGGACCCAGCCCACAGTTTTGGACACAGGCTTTGAGTCTTTTAAATCTTTGCTGAAGACCCATCTCATTTCTTTGACTTTTGAGTTTRAGGTTCAATTTGAGCCAATGTCTTTTTCGTATCTATTTATTTGTTTTTTGTTTATTTTTGATATAAGCCTTTGACTGAGCTGTAAAGCATTTTGATCAGCTCTTGTTGTTTTTATGTGCTACTTAAATAAATTTGACATCGACATTGACATTAGCAGTGTTAGCAGCATTAGCAACATTAGCAGCATGTTAGTGGCGTTAGCGTTTGCTTTTGTTTTTTTCGCCAGACGATGACGCATAACAAGAGCCATGCACCAACTGTAAAGGCTGTGTTACATTCTTAAATACCCATAAAATTTTATTTTGAAAGTTAAACTAAATGTTTTACAAATAAAATTAAAGTTTTTTTTCTTTTTTGGCGCGTGTGTGTGTATTGCAGTGGTGCTTTAAGAGAGTCTGTGTTGCTTACGGGACTCGTCCAGAGGGTGTGGACGGAGGCTGGGGTTTGTGGTCACCGTGGGGGGAGTGCAGCAGGACCTGTGGAGGCGGAGTCTCCTCTTCTGTCAGGCACTGTGACAGCCCCAGGTACGGAGCATCTGAAATCTGGTGCAACTGAACCGTCATGGTGCAGACGTTTGGCACTAGTACATCAAAGTACACAACAAAAACATGAGTCATGGCTTTCATCCAGAAACAGATGCATTATCTAGTTAGCATTTTGTTCACAGCCTCGATAGAAAAGCATTCTCAGGGAGTTTTTGCACGCTGTACCGAAACTTAATCTTTCAAATTAAAGCTTTGTTTTTTGGTCTGGTTTGTAAATCTGTTACCAAAAACGTATTTTCAAACTCCACACAGAACACATGAGTGGCATTATGTAAAGCAGCGGAGTCTGAAAATCACTGCAGAGCAGCTAATCTTCAGACTGGTTGTCAGCAGATGCCTCATCTTGAACCGATTATGARGAAAATGGACTGACCCAAATCTGAGGCCAGCAGTTTTCCTCCCCACATTTCATTTCAGAGCATCATTTTGCACATTTTCTTTGGTTTTAATCTATTGAAATAATTAAAAGTTATGCAGAAGCAGTCGTTTAACAGGAGCTGCGTTCTCATATTCGTTCACATACTCCCGGAGAGGCTTGAAATTCCTCCATAAAGCTGAAGTCAGAAGTAATTTTATGGTGATGTTATGGGTGTTGGATGTGGTCAAACTAAACTCACATGTTTCTGACTGACTCGTCCAACTGTTTCACTCCAGGCCGACCATCGGTGGAAAATACTGTCTGGGGGAAAGGAAGCGCTTCAGGTCCTGTAATATTGATGTGAGTGCTGCTGCTCTTTATCGTCGTCACGATTATCAATTCACCTGTACAAATCGGTCAAAGTAAGGAAAAAACACAATGAAATGGGTTACAGGAGTGCCCTGCTGGCTCCCGGGACTTCCGAGAGATTCAGTGCTCCGACTTTGATACCATTCCTTTCCGGGGAAAGTTTTACACCTGGAAGCCGTACAGAGGAGGTGAGTGGGGAAAGCTTTTGTGTGTTTTAAATAATAATCMGAGTCTTACTGTCTGACCAGAGCGTCTGCAGTTTCCCTTTAAAAATGATTAAATGCCTAGCATTTCCAACTTTGTAAATGACGTTTTATACAATTSTGTGCAATATTGTGAGATCTCAAAAAATAAAAAGACTCTAAGCTTTAAAGGAGACATAWCTTGCTTTTAAATCCTTCATTTTAACATTTATATTATTCAGTTGGGGTCTAAATAAAGTGGAACTGCAATGCTTTGGCCTGAATTCCTCCTTATTGTAACTCCACAAGCCCCTCTTTCACCCCTTTCCTGAGGTGTGTCTCAAATCAACTTGTTTTGAGGCTGTTTCTTTAAATCCAAATGAGGCGCTTTACACCTGCCCCCTCCAGTTTCCATTCTAGCGGTCCATTCTAGATTGAWAGAGGGGTTTACGACTATTTAGCGGCRCAGAAACATTTTATTTACAAAGTAATTAAAAGATGTCAACAAGGGAAAACTTGTCCATCCAGCCTTATATGGGAGCCAGAGTCTGACCCAGAGCCAGAGGAGAAGGAAGACCACCAAGTTGTAGTTGTCCAGACCTTATTTGGTAGTTCTGTTGYAAACAATTTGAAGTAAGAGTTCAGAAAACATCATAGAAAATAGARAAAACTGAATGGGTTTAAAGATATGACACAAACAAAATAAAAAGATAACTATGCAGCGCCAACTTTTCTTCACTCCTWGAGACTCCAAAGTACAACAAAATGCATTTAATGGCTAAAATAATGGATTTTGCACGGTATGTCCTCTTTAACTTGACCGTATTTTAGCTCATTATCTGTAAAATAGCTATAACCATTTAGTTTTTTTCTAAGGTACATCTTGAAATGGTTTGACTTCATCCATCCAATGATTTTTATAATTTAATGAATAAGTGATTCATTAAAATCTGTCCTTTGCGTCTTAAAAAAACAAAAAAAAGTTAAAAACAAAACAACTGGACTTCTTTTCTAAAGATGAAGACGTTTTGCTTCCTGTCCAGGAAGGTTTCTCAATTCAAAATGTCTGGAGTGGTGTAGAGTTCCATGTTTTATAGACCTGCATGAGAGGYCTCGTTGGTGCTTAGATTCACATGTTTAACCTGTAACCACTCGCCCTTCGCAATAGAGAGTCGTTAGGTTTTTTTGTTTGCCTGTTTCGTGCTGATATAATTTTGGGACGACGTTGGCAAATGTGTGCCGCAACTCACAGGAGATGCTCTGACCAACAGCGGCTCATTGTTTGTAGCTTAGTTGTAGCATTAGCAACATGGCTATTTGTTACTATTTGTTACCATGTGGCCCATGAAGTCCAAAAAGGTGCATGTTTCCTGTAGTTGGTTTGGTTCGGTTCGAGGCCAGTCCGTATTCACACCAGAAGCGAACCACACAGAGTTTGTTTGGAAGSGGACCGAGACCACCTCAAAAGTGTCTCTCGGTCCACTTGTTTGGTCCACACCAGGATTCTCATAAGTGTATTCACACCTGCATAAAAGGTCCGGACCAACAGGGGAAACGAATGTCTGGTTCTTTTAAAATGGACCAAATGTTTCAGGTGTGAATACACCCYAAAGTTCTTTTTGCTTGTTTGATGGAAATGTCTTCTTTCACCTTCCTCTCAAACCAGCTTGCCTTCTCTATCCAAAAATACAAACAGTTTGGTCCTCAAAACAGTGTCCCTTATCCTTGAGATGTTCAGGGGTTGGACAATGAAAMTGAAACACCTGTCATTTTAGTGCAGGAGGTTTCATGGCTAAATTGGACCAGCCTGGTGGTCAGTCTTCGTTAATTGCACATTGCACCAGTAAGAGCAGAGTTTGAAGGTTCATTTAGCAGGGTAAGAG